ATCTATCTATCTATCTATGAATACCACTTACCCTAAGTAGAAAGACCTTGTGTTCCTCCTTGAGCGGCAGCGCGAACCCGTTGATGATGGAGCCCAGGATCTCCAGCAGCTCAGCGATGCCGTTGTGATGCTCCGTTTCATAGATAAACCTGCAAATAAAATAATAGCATTAATAATATAATATCAAGCTGTGGTAGCCTAATAGTCTGACCTACTGCCTCTTAAGCAGAGGCCGCGGGTTGCAATCTGGCCGCGCATCTCTAACTTCCTTCTTAAATCTAAATGTGAAGTCTCCAACCCGCATTGGACCAGTGTTGCGGCCTATGATCTAAACGCTCACATGAGAGGAGAGCCGTGTCCAGCAGTAGGACGTTTAAATGTGTTGATGATGAATAACGTAATAATAATATCTAATATATAAATAACACACCAATCTCATCAATTATGTAATAGAAACCTAAAACAGGTACACTTTTAAGTTTTTTGTATATTTATACTATTTTTTATAGACAACCTCCTGTTTTACTCTGTTTTGTTTGTTTTTGTATCTGCTCTTCTGTGCAATAAATAGTATCGTATTGTACCAACAGTACATTTGAGTCACTTTGCATTTGATGCCCTAAGCTTAAACAATATTTGACTGATCAAAAACGATTACTCAATTTTGAAATTGGTTTTCTTTTTTTTTATAATATCAACTGACGGGACGAACAAGTCGTGTGGCTGGTGGTAAGTTACACGCCTGTATTCTTATACGTCATTTTTGAAAGTTTATATTTGTAAAACGGGGGAAAACTTTTTTTTTTCAATGATAATGTGTTTTATTATCTAACTCTTTAAAAATAAAAATGCAAGGTGACTCGAATTATGTGCCCTCGAGTGTATAAAAGATTCAATGAAAGTGTTTTTTTAAAAGATACTATTCGACCTTTCTTAATCGTCGAATACTAACCCTCACCCCGCAATAGTGACGTCATACTAAATACTTAATGAAAACAGCGATCGATACGTCCGACAAAAATCATAAATAACTAATAAGGGATGTAATACAGTTCGTAAACTTGAAATATTGGATGTCGTATGGTTAATGACCATTTGATATTGAAGTCAACTGAAGGTCGTATGACTGTAGTGTAAGATTTTGGTACTTTTAGCACAATTTACAATGGTTGTTAAAATGCTGTGCGCAGGAAGTTTAAAATACAATTCCACCTCACCGTTCCTCCGCGTCGTTCTATTAGAAAGCCATAAACACTGTGTTCAATTCAGACAGCTCCGTAGCGAATCTCGATTAAAATAGAGGGTTTTAAAAAAAATGGAATTTCTTTCCCAACTCATTCACTCCCATGGCCTAAAAGACTAAATGATGTACTCCCCGGCAATCTCACCTGTCATCCGAAGTGAATCTGACCTCGGATGACATGATAATCTTTATTTTATTATTGTTTCTTTTTTATAATTTTCTTTGTGTTTAAAAAATACCAAGTAGTACTCTTTTTTAAGTTGTTTATTAGTGGAAACATTGCTGGTTTAAGTGATAGCTTTTTTGTTCTATAATCTTGTACATAAATTGTAAACTGTTTGTTTCACAAAAAAATTAAAACATTATAATATTAAAGATTTTTTACTACATCGCATAGATTATAAAAATGTGCGAGTACTATTTTTTGTATTACTTTCTTAATATTGAATTTAATTTAAATTAGCTGAATAGTTTGTCATTACAATAGCAAAATCGACAAAATTTTAGTTAGTAGCGTACTGTTAATTGCTGGTGTAGATTTGTTTTACTTATTACTACTTGAGACGAGTGCGGAATTATAAATAAATTATTAACCGACTTAAAAAAGGAGGAAGTTCAAAATTCGTCAGTCAATGTTGACATAATGTGTGAAGCCCTATGTAATCCATTTTACCTAAAAACATTACAAATCTTATTCAACTTTTCTACCACTTAGTCTCAAACATTTTCTGCCTAAAACTAAAATTAATTTTGTGAGGATATGGAACCTTATTAGCCTTTTCCTGATTTAAGCAAAACACGCTCAGCGTTTAACGAATTAAATGGCGGTATTAACTCAAAGCATGTTTTTAGGTGACTGTGATCGTTCTTACCCTGGTCTCCTCATATATAAATTCTAGAAACTTTTGTGGTCAGTTTTTTTTTTCATAAAAAAGTTATAATTATTTAAATTTACGGTGTGAAAAGTTGGGAAGTTCTAAACTAAAATGACTTAAAATAATCTCAGTGCAGAGTACTAAAAAACCGGCCATTAAAGCCATTCATCCCCTAGTTTGCCACCGTTGGAGGTGGAATACTTTCTTCGAATTTAAATGGGACCACATCAAAGGTACAAAAAAAAGAATCATCAAGATCAGTTCACAAATATAGCCTAGCATACATATAAAAAAAGCATACAGCCGAATTACGAACCTCTTCCTTTTTTTAAAGTCGGTTAATTACTAACGGAAGGACTGATGCACAAATAAAGACTAAATTTAGTCTGTGTTTGCCCAGATCGATGCCATTTGTATAGACAAAAAAAGCGTAATTAGCTGTAGTATCAGTTACAATGTACAGTCAAGAGCGAGCTCTACGTTTTGGACTTTGGACGATTCTTATAGTAATTGGCTTAAAGATTAATATGGAAGAACTAAGGCTCAGCGTGCATGTAGTAGGTAATAGTTTTTTGCAATAATTTGCGTCGACGAGTTTATTGTCTTGATTTTCCTTAACGTCTTTTGTGCTGGGAAATAATGAGATCTATTTGTAGAACCAGTAATTACTGAGTGTTACTTTTTCAATGTGTTTATATGTCGCTTTGTTTTATAGAAGCAAATAAAATGTTAAATGAAAACTATCTGCTATTGTTTTTGGTAAACATGTACTATTTGTAGTGGTGGGATTCCAGCGGGACTGTTGGTTCTCAATTCAGAGGTCGACTGTTCGCGGTATGTACAGGCGATGCCGTAAGACACCTGGCCCCCTAACCGTCCATCTGGTTCGGAGTAGATCAGTGTGAAAAAGGTGTTAAATATGTTAACCTTTAACCCTTGAGCCATTATATTCACGTTGGTATGATTTTGTGTATTGCATCATTAATTGATGACGTTTTAAGAAAGTTAGTGGTGAAAGAACTGCACCTGTGCCTCTACCGTTAGCTTACCGTGACAGTTGTCGCTAGCGACTGCGTAAATTACTTCACAATTTTGTATGGCAAATTATACAGCGCCTCTAGCGGTTGACATGCAGTGCACTCAAAGAAGGTTCACAACCCTAGAAAACAGGTGAAGTTAGCAAATTTTAAATTTATTTTTTTTATTTTTAAATTTTATTAACAACTTAGGGTTGACGAGTCACGGTGAAAAAGTTGATGGATTATTTTAGATTAGTTTACGTTTGTTTGTATTATTGAGGAAGGCGTTCAATGAGACGGCCTCCTACTAGATGACATATTTGATGACCTAGAAGGGCGCTGGTAAACAGGGCACGGGGGTAGCAGCAGAATCTTGAGCGTATTTTCAAAGAGGTTACACAATCCACTCATGTGGAAACCGGCACACAAAATCTATTTTGGATATCAAATACTCACGGGTAAGTATCATTGTTAACAACGCAATGGTTCCGTATTTTCTGATAAATAGATCCCAAACTAGGAAATTCTTTGCAAATAAAAATAATTTCGGGGCACCTACCTAGAACATCCAAACCAATTCAGGGCCAACCTATCACAAACTCGAATTTTTTTTCCGAAATAACGTTTGTTCGAATTTCCATGACACCGAAAACTGAATTATAACGAAATCGTTGTTCTTTAAGGGAATTTTGCATGTTTATCGCAAAGACAAGTTAGGTTTAAAAGAAAAAAAATGTTCCTCTCAAAATTTTTTCCAGGTTGTGAAAATTCGAGCGTTATTTCTGGAAAATGTCATTCTGGACTACCGATAGGTATATCAAATTTTTCGAGACCTGGACCAATTTCAAACAGAATCGAACCTCTACATCCAGAATCCACGGGTGCACAGCGTAAACCGAAATCGTCTGTTATAAAAATAAACAAATGTCGATTGGCACCGGTGTACTTGGTTTTCTATATTTTAACAACCCCTAGCATAGCTTAGGAGGTATACTAAGTTCACAATGCTGAATGAATGTTGTGAACGTTTGGCACATGCGTATAGGTTACTACATACTAGTCTGTATAAAAAACTCTAGGTTAATGTTTGTCTCGACGCCAGACAGTGAGATCGACCAGCCTGAACTCGCCTTTCTGGCCGGCTGCCCAAAAACACGCACCCCCTACTCGGAGCGTACTGTAATACTAGAGTAAACATTTTTACTACTTTTCTCTCCCCTCCCTAACTGCCGCATCTGACCCTTTTGTTGTAACAACGTAAGATGTACGACTTCACTCAAGTTTCCCCCCACCACTGACTTCATCATTATTAGATTATTATCGGTTAAATAATAACAAATATGTAACTTAGAAATTAAAGTCATTAACACAAACGGAGGGGTACTCGAGGGGAGTCGGGCAGCGCGGAATGCATCCTGCAAACACGCTTAATTTGCCGGATCGAGCGTTAAAGGTTGATGTATGCGTGTTTTAATTTTTTTTTAATGCGTTCAACGAGTTCTAAGAAAATCATTACGTGCATAATATACATACACATAATGGCGCACAAGTATGTGATTCGGTGTATTGATGTAATTCGAAATCGAAATACGACAGGGATCAAAAATTTCATAGAATTATTTGACTCATTAGATAAGGTGGAATTTAAATCACGATATAATGAAATTATTAATTCGACTGCGAATACACTACCTAGTTAAATTTAATAATAGAAAACTGAAAACATCTAAAACTAAATTGTCACGTAAACATTTGGAAGTGGAACACTTGTAAATCTTTATTACTAGATATGTAATAATAAATAATTTATTGTGCATTGTAATATAAGCAATAATTATTGTTAATAAATTATTACGTTATGACAATAATCGCATTTTTTTCCATTTTGTGACGACCCTTGAATATTTGCGTACGACAGCGCAAGTACCGATATGGGCGGCGGTATCGCCGACTATAAAAGGCAAGATATTGTATCTATATTGTATCTTTAGGGAAGATATTGTAATACTCTGTCATTAGATATATGTCGCTACATGGGACACGAACAATTGAGAAAACAACCTTTCTCACACGGGACTGCTATCGCTCTTGAATAAACATGTTTAATTCAATTTACTCTTATGTCAGAATGTATACGTAAAATAATTCATTTAGAAACTCACCTATAGAACACATTGTTAATCTGTTTTCTGATGTATGCTCGCAGCACGAGGAACTTGCCGTATATCCTATGTAAGGTGGTTTTGAGGAAATCGCGCTCGCGAGGATCCTCAGAGTCGAACAGGTCTAATAACTGGAATAAACATTATCATTTTAACTATAGTATGAATCATAATTAGAGGTCCAAAATGTAAGCAAAGGGGAGATTTTTTAATCAGTACAGCACACTAAAAAACCGACCTCAAAAGTCATTTATCCCCTAGTTTACCACCCGTAGAGGTGGAATATTTTCATTTCAACAACATTTCAACAACAATGATACCACACACATCCAGACCCGAGACAATATAGAAAAATGTTTTCTACATTCACCTGGCCGGGGATCGAACCGGGGACCTCGGATATGGCGAGACCATGCAAATCAGCGTACAAGCCACCCGACCATGGAGGTCGTACAAGATGTGCACGAATACGAAAAGCAGAGAAAACAATGACAAATAAAAAAAAGGCGCCAAAAACGAGTACAGTTAAATTTAGAATTTCAATTGAAAAATAAACTGTTAAAAACGTATACAAAATACAAAGATTTGTAACTACTGCTGCGTTTCGCCACAAAGATGTTTTGGGTAGTTCATACCAAGGTTGATTTCATTTTCTGGTACTGATAAAGAGAATGTTCTAGTTTAAGACTTAAGGCCAAATCCCTTCCATCTTTCCAAGATCCTATAAACAATCATAATAATATGGTTACCTTCTAAAGTTTCGCCACTAATGAACAGGACATTGAAAAGGCTAAAAGCTAAAGCCAAAACCCGCTGACACTTAACTACTGCCGCATTGTTTACCGTCAATGCAGACTTTGCATGTAATATCATTAGCGTAAAAATATACTGTTGATTCCAGTCTTTATTGCATATAATAATAATAATAATGTGCCAGGCAACCATACCAATTACCCGGTCTCAAATTAAGGAATTCCCTGTACTACGAGTACCAGAATATCCGGAATTCACTCCGCGGCACCAATTCCGGAATGCGCATTTCTTTCCACCTATTGTCCACAGTGCAAACTGTTGGGCCACCGAGGTTATCAAAATCTTAAACTATGCGAATTCCAACCCGGGACCTCCTCATGCAACGTCCACAGTCCACAAACCGCTGGGGTACTGCGGCCACTAAATGAGGTAGAAAGCTATGAAAAGGTCAACACCCGGGCAGCGGAGCCTTGGAAGTACCAATCATCAATTCAGTAATCGAAAGGAACTTTCCCCGCACGACGTACCATTACTTTTCTGTATGTCTGGCGCTGGGCAACAAACGGCAAGTACCTTACGCCAATTGGCAAATTTTTTTCATCAAGATGGCAAGCATTATAGTGTCTGCCATCGATACTATAAGAAGTATACGCCCCAGCCCTAAGTACGGATTTTACGGAGCGGATTTTAGAACCAGTGCGGGTCGGGAACTTCACACGTTTTCCAAGGGTTGTGAACCTTTGTCGACGTGCTGGTTTCATAACTATGGTTTTCCTTCAACTAGCAGCTAACTACTAAATTATCACAAATGTGTATAACTTCGAATACAAAGTAATGCCGCTACAGGGATTGTGGAGCAATAGTTCTCCCACGTCGCTCTTTTTAACCGACTTCAAAAAAGGAGGAGGTTCTCAATTCGACTGTATATTTTTTTTGTATGTATGTTACGCGAGAACTCCGGTATTTGTGAACCGATTTTCATGATTCTGGTTTTGTTGGAAAGAGGGGTACCTCTATAGTGGCCCCATTTCATTATGAAGAAAATCATTCACCTGTAAGGGTGGCTGATGACGTATGAACATTCATTTTTATAAATAGCGCCTAAATTTTATTTAAGGAGCAATTATTTTAAAGGTTGGTTTTTCTATTCTCCAATTCAAGGCGTTTTCCTCTCTCAATATACTTTGAGTAGTGAGAACCTATTTTTATTATCTTCTGTGTCAAGTTCTGTATAGTAGCGAACTAGGGGATATTTCAATAAAACTTGGCAAATACATGTAATTCCACGTACTTTTGAAGTCGGTTTTTTTAGTACTCTGTACTGAGATTATTGAAATCATCAAAGACGTAAAACATAACCTTCCAAAAACATTTCAATTACTCAATTTGGGAATATTGTAACACGGTACCCTAGTACAGATTCCACTCCGTCCCAAGCTCTTATTTGTACATGTCGCACGTTGAACTAATAAAGTCTCAAAACCAAAAAGTGAAATTTGTCAAATTGGTGACTAAAATTTCTGAAAATAATTATAATTTCGAAATTCGAAATCGAAAATAGACGGTTATTATAAAAGTATCAGCTGTAACCAATAACGTCTGTTCATTCGTACGCAAATCTAAAGGATTCAAAGGTGGTTTCTGTTGAAGTGCCAAAAACTGAATTCTCTTAAAACTCCCAAAAAACCATTGACTTACAAAAAACATAACATCTTTAATAGCAAGGGTGATAACCAGTAAGCACAAATCAAATAGAAATATCGCACGGCGGCTTCAATTATTCACGACGGTCAAGGGCACTTGACGCGTTCCATTTACATTGGGGTGCCTTTTGAGGGTGTTTGGCAGAAAGGGAAGTGTACACTGTACATACTACCTGTAGGTAGATTCTCTATACTCTATACAATCCATGATTGCTTTGTAATTTATTAGATTAGATTGAGATAGATTAGATAGATTGATGAGAGATTAATATGATGATTTCCATTTTGTCAGTTTCCAAAATATTGCTTTTCAAATTATTACACTTTATTTGAGGGTGGTGGTGCGATTTGTTCCTAGCCTGACCGTGGTGTTCGTTTCTGCTTTTCATAAAATAGACCTTTCAAGAAGAGGTTCACTTTTTAAAATGATGACTTGTAAAAATAAATTTGGAAGTCGACAAAAATGACGTTTTTAAAAAAGGGAGAGAGAGGCCTTCGAAAAAAGAAGTAATTTATAATTGTGGATATATCCGTCAAAAGGATAATAAGGAGGGCGCACTCGCCACCATTGCAACGCGTGGGTGCAAGTGTACGTAGCGTAGATATGCCTGTGCGCCCTTATAGTGAACTTAATAAAGGGTTCAATTCGACAACATGTTTTCCGAAAATTAAGTTACTGATTTGTGACATCATGTATTCCACAGCAAACTATATCATTAATTCCCACTTTTCCAATTCCAAACCCACTCTTAGTTGTTTAAAAGAAATAACTCTAGCAACAACCACCCGTACTGTCTTATCTTGCTGTTTTCCAAGAATACTGACTGAAATCAAAATAGTTCGTTACACAGCTGTATTCAGAAGGTACTAACTTCTATCACGAATAAGATACCGAGCTGTCATTGGTCGAAACAATCATGTAGCGACTCTGGATCAGTATACGATTCGTCGATTTGCGCGTTAGATATGCAAAGTTCTTTTTAATTTGAATGTAGGCCGCTAGTAGTAAACGTAGGCCGCTATTCCAGAAAGCCATGACATATGACGCCATAAAATGTTTAAGAACATTTAAACGTTCAGCGACTTACCTGTAAGACAAATTTCTGGTCGATATATTTCTTGGCCACATTGGGCTGGAAGTCTGGCGACTCAAGTAGCCGCAGAAACAGCTCGTATACCAGCTGTAGGTGCGGCCAAGCCGCCTCCAGTGTGGGCTCGTCTTCTTCAGGGTCGAACTCTGCGCCATTCGGATTTGACGACGGAGGTAATGTCCGGAATAAGTTTATTGCAAACTGTGAACAATTTGTTTCGTTATTTTTTATGATACGAAGTGTCGGGATGACCCTGTCGTGTGTTAAGAGACACGCAATTTGGTATCATAAACACTCAGAAATTATGTCACAGTCTGAGAGCCATTACTACTACGCCCGTTAAATACATAAAATTGACAAGTCTCACATGAGGCTCACATGCATCTAAATTCACCAGCAGCGCTGGAACGCAATAATGCTTTACTGTTTGGCGGCAGAAATTGGAATCGAACATTTTAAAGAATTATTTAAAAGTTGGAATAGGCATTTGGCTATACAACAACTTTACAACTACGTAAAACCATAGAATTAAAAAAACTACAAGTCGTTATAAAGTCTACAATATCAACTTTAAATTCCTTGTGAAATTGCCATCATTCATTTAATTCTATTTAAACTGGATGAGATTCATCATCCATAAACAGAAGATATCTTGCTATAAAGCAAAGGCCTCCACTGTATAATGGAACTACGTATCTTGGTAAGTTGCCTACAACCAATGTATGTCCGCAGGGTGAAAGTAAGAATTGAGAGAAGTTGACAAAGTGAAAGCGATCCCCAACTTACCATATTAACTGCTTCCGGGTATATAGCTTCTGTGATAACGCCGCGCTGTGAGGTGACATAGTCGACCATCTCCAGCAGCGCGGCGCGTTTCACCTCCTTCCATTTCAGATCTGATAACGGCTCGTCCGCGAAATCGAACAGCAGACAACATTGCCGGAGCTTCTGCACGAATAACTGCTCGCGTTCTGCTGCCGGCGCATCTGAGTACATACGTAAATTTATTAGTCTGCCCAAATTTGTCTTCATATAACTGATATTCCCATAGACATTGCTATCCACAGCATATGTAAAGCTACCCATACTCGTTTGACTATGCCCTAAGCCTCCTTCATCTACATTAACACCGGTGATTTTGCGCTATCCGGATTCAATCCTGCCTCAGGGCTGATGATTGACTTTATCCATGTTGTTTTAATTGATACAAAGATTGTTCAAAGACAAAGAAAAATTCCTTCGTTCCGGTTGCTATATTTTCGCCTAACGCGGACTCGACTGAGCTCGTCCAACTGAGCTATGGAATGGTTGGCAGACCTTACGAATTGGTCTATGTGCTTGCTGCAGATCTTTGTTTTTGGGTTTAACGTCTTTTTTGCCGTAGTCTTTCTCTGTGAGAGCCAGGTATCTTTACAGCTACCAGCGGCTGACAAGAGATGTCGCTTTATTAATTACATTGGTATACTTTTTGTAAAAGTATTCCACTAGTTTGTTGTTATAATTGGTAAAAAGATCAAACAAACTCAATGAAAATTATTTCTATCCAGCTGGACCTGAATCAGCGAGATCCATAGTTTTTCTTACTGGAGCAATGGAATTACATTCGAGACTAGCTGGACATGTGTCGTCATTACACTATGTTTTATTAAAGTAGAGAATCTAGTCTAAAAGAAAACATTATTGTGTGCTGCATTGTCAACAGGATTATTACGGCTTCATTATATTTATATGTACAAACTAGTATATATGTGTACGTATTCATTAAATGTTGTTGGGATTTTTTACAATAATAAATCATTGCAATTGAATATTCGGCGTTTGACGCCACTAGCATAGTCCTCAGACGCAAGATCTTCGGATTTGCTTAATGTTAAGCGTAACGAACTCCTTTCCAAGGAAGACTATTTGCAAATCTAAACAACCACTTAAAACTTTGCAGTTGAACTGTGCTCTTAAAGTTAAGGAGGAGATAAATCACTACGCTTTAATAGAAGATATTATAATACAGGTTAAAGTATGAAATTGCCGTTCTGCAGGATAACAAACACAAAAATGTTTTAGATAATAACTGTTTAACTGTTGGAAGCTCTTTTCGTTCTTTGCTGCAGAATAGTCGGGAACAGAAGTCCACAGAGCCTATGAGTTTCAAGGCAGCCAAGCATAATCCGGGAAATATATTAGTCAGAACCAAATCAGATAGCTGTATGTATGGTAGATGGTGGCGAAAAAGTTTCAATCTGTAAGGTGCAGATTTTTTATTCGATAGATGTCCGTAAACGATGTAAAAGTAGCGGTGAAACTAAGTTGATTATCTGTGTTTGTTTTCCTGATTGTCCTGCAATCATCATCCTCATCACCAAATCAATCAACTCATCTAAGGATGCTATCACTAATTTTCAGTGGGTAAGTCGCGTTCGGACACTGTTTGGACTTGTCGCCAGAGATCAATCAGTGCGTTGATCATTTCTGATTAAGATAAATAATCCATATTTAACATGAATACGGTCGAAACCATCGTTAGCGACATTGAAAGGTTTATGACACGTCATTCAGTAGTTAGAATAATTTGTGTGGTATTTATGGTTCTTTTATTTAACTGATTTGGAGCGAACGAGCTCAGTGACGAACCATGCTGCTAATTCATCCGTCATGCCCTCAAGTTTGCGATGCACCCGATTCAACAATAGATTGCAAGTCGTCATCTGATCGTCCACGAGGCTCATTTGCCTGGTCAACATTTTCAGTGCAGCATCGGGTGAACTAAAAACGTATCGCCGTACGTTAGTCGTACCCTCTCCATACACGTGGTTAAGGTGTGTGGAAGAGATATTGGTCTTTTCTTGTGAGAGTGAGTGATTCGGCCAATATAATTATAAGAACAGTATGCGATGCGTGCTACTTTGTAAGTGACCACTCCATTTTTAAAATTTAAATAAATTAATTTTTGTTATACTATTATTTCTAATGTGAATTCAATTTAATGTAATTCTCAATTATTTACTTCATTAATAATTATAATATTCGGTAAATAAAATTCAATTTAGTTGGTTATGTAATGTAATGTAATTAATAATGTTAAATTTATTAATGGGTGTGTATAACCTAAATAAAGAAACATTTACGTTTATTTATTATTATTTTTAATGTTTCGAATTATTTGCAATGTTAGATTTCAAAGGGAATGCAAAATTAAGCAAGACTAAAAAGTAGGTCAATGACTAAAACAGAAAAAATAACGCCAGTATTCTAAAATGAAATTATTTGTTTTTTCGAACAAACCAACGTTTCAGGCCCTTTACAGGTCTCACGATCACGACTGACAAAACAAATATACGCGATTCCGACAAACATAATTTCATTCGCCGAAAACCTATGAACTCGATATAAAAATTTTAAATTTAGAAATCTATGTTCATTTTATTTGAAAAATTTTGTAATTTGAATGGTACTATAAACGACTTTATTTCATTTAAGAGTGGTCAGAACTTTAGAAGAGCAATTTCATAATCCCTAAATATATCGCGTGGAGAGCATTTACTAATAATTACTTCTTACTTAATTTAAGACCACTAAACGAACCATATTTCTCATACGTATATACAAGTTTAAATAAAAAAGAGCTAACACTAAAAGTAGCGCTATGCGCAGCGAATTTGTAAACAAAAACGGATCTCACTAAAGAGCGAAAGAAAAACACCAGCGTACCTTTTAACCAGACGTAAACATTGCAATTTTGACAGAGTAGGTAAATCGATCTAAGACTAATAATCTTTGCAATAATAAGCGCAAGGTAGTCAGTTTAGTTTTAGTTAGGTAGGTAGTTATACATCACATAGTTACATAGTTTTTTTTATATACATATTTTTTAGTTATATATCAGTTATACGTTTATTCCAATCAGTTTAATTGATAGTTTTACGAGTGGCTCTAATATTTATACATGGTACCGAGTCATGAAAACCAATTTACATTGGGTGCTGACATTCTACAACCCTATCGCGGTGCATACATCATGTCAATGGGAAAATATACTGCAAGACGCAAGGATGTCGCATTCATTTTCCATGACGTGCCCACATACTGCCCGCCACTGGACTATGGGTCGATATTATGGGATTGCGGCAGATTCGCCATTAGGTACTCCATAAATATTTGTATGAATACGTATTATAATAATGTCCGCATGCCTAATAGACTACGTTCATTGGTATTGTTTTGGGTCTAGCGATGGTTTGTACCGGTGAATAAAAAAATTGGGCAGCACACGGCATTACATCTCTACACATTACTCCGACACTACACTACAATTTATTGCACGTGATTGCCAATATATTTTACTAGACGCGATTTATATATGATATAGGATATGTAAACATAAGTAGAAGGTTGTTGCAGAGGCATCGCCAGCTTCAATAAGCTGTTAACGATGAGACTTTTGTCGCTGGTTAGACAAACTAGTAAATGAAGTGTATTGTCACACAAAGTAGAGGCCAAATTGGGGGCGACGACGGTGACGAACCTTTGAGTAGAGGCAGTTGCACCATCAAACTCTCCTTATCATTCAGCAGCGGCGGGCGGTCGGAAAGCGGCGCGCCGGCGACAGGCGCGGGCGCGGTGGGCGGCGGGGGCGGTGGGCTGCGCGCGCCCGGTGGCGACGGCACCTTCTGCTGCGGCGGGCCCTGGCCCTCCATGCCGGAGTCGGGGCCGGAGCCGTCGCCGAACAGCGCGAAGCGGAATGCACGCGCAACGTCCGACACGCTCTCGGAGCGCTTAGTGGTCTGATTCGCGACTAGGTCGAGGCCGGAATGAAAAGACGGGGACTTGGGGATACCGAGCGGCGAGACGGCGCGGCGCGGTTTCGTCTCAGCGGCGGCGAACATCGCGCGAGAAGGCGCGCGCGCGGCCGGCCCGGCGTGGACCATCGCAGTCGGCGGCCGGCAGCGGCATCCGAGCGGAGGCCCGGCGATGCCGGGACCGGAGCGAGCTGCGGGGGCGGCCGGACTGCCGCGCGCTGTGTCTTCATAGCCTGCGCACGCACGCACACCCCGCGCCCCACGTTCTGCCCCACCCGCGCCTTCTACCGCTCTATACAACCTCCGTATCTAGGGTTGATGCGTTTCCATTGATATATTTTATGTTTATCTGTATTATGCTTAAAAATACATTGGGTATTTTAGGCGCACAAATTCATGGTAGATCCATGAAATACTATAGTGGATGGATAGGATGGTCAAACAAAAATTGACAATTAATCAAGTTTTAAAATTACCCAAAACAGAGAAGATATTAAGAGACAGCCCTACACAGACTAGTTGCATAATTCCAAGGTCAAAAGTCGTGGTGGACCGATAGACACTAGACAGGCGCATATGGAGAAGCGGCAATAATTGTGCAATAAACTATTTAGAGCTGATGTCCCAACAGACACACACGATCATTCACCGCACCATCTCCCGAACAATTCAAATACTTAGGGAGTTAACGAAAAATAAAATACAGATATGTCAGCAATAACAACACACTAATAAAACCACTTATAAACGACACGACGAAAACATCATTGCTGCACCATAAACCAAAAGTAATATTCAGTCAAACAGACGCATCTAATAAAATCTATTTCCATGTATTATACTAATACGGCGTCTACGGCGATCATAGTCTCCCCTTTGGGGCACAACCGTTTTATGACGTCATGCAGAGAATATATGAAATTTTCCGCTGACGTATAAACGGGTAGTCGGGGCAAGCCAGTAGCAGTTTTCTCGGTAAACAAAAGTATGCCGCGGGGTAGTCGGCAAACACGGGGTAAAATTTGGGTGCATCTGGGGTAAGCAAGGCAGCGGTTGCGTGAGGGAAGCGATGTTCCCTTACAGACGGGAACTCTTCCCCCCTGGAACGATCGTTAATCGACTATAAATTGTCTGGTTTACTTCCGAAAACCACAGCCAACAGGGGCTAAACGCAAATTGGTTTCAGTGAAGGTTTTATTATGAAAAATAATATTTGAATTATGTTTTATTCATTTCAAGCCCCAAGAAAACGAGTCATATCAATCAAAAGTGAAAATTCTTTTCTACACCGTCTAACCTTTAAAAAAAAGATAAATCAGACGTCAGGACAGACGCGTAACGTGTTACGCTCATACAAGGTAACTCGCTTTCATTGTTTAATAGACAAGTCGGGGTTCACACGAACAACACGCGAATAATTATAATTAACAACAGCTGCAGGAAAATACTTTAGCTGTACAACAAATCCGCAGGTAGCGGTGGCTGTCAAGAAGCGGAGGCGTAGCATAGTGAGAATACACAACCGCCTGTCACATCCGCATAAAATATGAAGTTCACGCCGCATTATCAACGTTAAAACGCCGCAAAAATTTATCAACGACCGGAATAAGCGTAGTATATTTATCTAAATTGCAAGTTCATTTACAGTGGATAATACCTCCCTCAGAAATACCGGAATAATAAGATTAAAAATCTTAAGTACATAGGGCGCACTATAAGTTTCCGGAACTGGTCACTTACATAAACAATATTTAAAAAGGAATTACCACATTTGAAAATGGAACTCTTTGGCTGTAGAATACTTTCATGTCACTTGTTATTACATTGTGGCGTCATTCTAGAAATTGGTTGTCTACATCATGGATTTAACTCGTGAAAATTTTCGTAGTATGATTTTCTACGACTTTGAGTGTAATTTAACAGCTCCGCGGAACTTCGCTCGGCGTCAAACTGCTTTTGGCGATGAAGTACCTCGCAAGACGACCATTTATAGCTGGTTTGCAGAATTCAAATGCGGTCGTGTGATGTGATCTTAGTGACGAATTTCGTGATGGTCGTCCGTCCACTGCTGTGAACAACAAAACCATCGATGCTGTGCACCGTATGATCAAAACAGACAGGCATGTGACATATCATGAGATTCGGGCATTTTTAGGCATAGGCATGAGTCAAATACAATCAATACTACACCAACATTTGGGTATGAAAAAGCTGTGCTCTCGGTGGATCCAACCCAATTTGACTGAAGCTCAAAAAACGGCTCGCGTCATCTGGTGTTATGCCATGCTTACCAGATTCAACGAAGGGGCGTCAAATTTGGTGTGGGACATAGTAACAGGTGACGAAACATGGATTGATAGTTACGATCACAAAACAAATCAGCAATCGAGCGTATGGGTCTTTCGAGATGAGCTGAAACCAATCAAAGTGGGCGCGTGCAAATGCCGCTTAGAGGCATTTAAGCGGATGATTGCTTCTTTTTTTAATAAAACTGGACACGTGGCTACTGTTGCTTTGGAGAATCGTTGTACTGTGAATAGTGATTGGTACACGACCATTTGTTTGACGGAAGTTATTGACAAACTCCGTAAAAATAACCATAAACGCCGTATTATCTTCCACGGTAATGCCAGTTCTCACACGGCCAGACAGACAAATGAATTTTTGAAGGTGAACAACGTTGACCTTATGAGCCATCCCGCGTACAGTCCCGACCTGGCACCTTGTGACTTTTACTTATTTCCAAAAATTAAGAACCAGTTACGCGGTCAACGATTTTCATCACCTGAAGAGGCAGTCGAAGAATATGAAAAATATGTTTCAGAGACTGTCACGGAGGAGTGGCATAAATGTTTTAATTCATCACATGTTGATTCATTCGTATGAAAAAGTGCATTAACGCTAACGGAGAATATTTTGAGAAACAATAAATTCATTTCTGACCATTTATTGTATTTTTTCTTATTCATTCCGGAAATTTATAGTGCGCCCCGCGTAATAATTGATTTTTTGGACAACATAAGTCCACACATCCAATTAGTAATAGATAAGTCTGTAACTGTGTCAGATTGTGAGAGAATTGTATATATTATCATGTTATGTAGGACGCCCTGCGGCAAGATGGCCGGACGACTTGAGAAAGGTGGCCGGCAGTGGCTGGATGCGGTCGGCACAAGACCGGGAGAGTTGGCGCGCGCAAGGGGAGGCTTATATAGCAGGGGATGAGTGTAAGCTGATGATGAATGATGAGGTGCCTTATTAGAGGTCCTTCCATTTTCTCAGCAATCATTTTCAGGATGCTATTGCTACTGTTACGTAGTCCTTCAAAACCGGGACCCAGTAATGCTCACATTACGGCTTGGAGGAAGAAAAAGGTAAAGTGACAGTACTACTAAACCATCGTTACATTGGTTAGTGGTGGTGGTGGTGGTGGAGGAGGTTTATGGGGTGGCGTTGACCGTACAACAATACAATGTACTACACAAACAACAGAAATTTCGTTAAAATCGATAAATTTATTTTTACACTAAGTCTAATGAGGTGTTATTGATGTTTATCAGGCGTTGTGTTAAAAAGTACCGCAATTAGATGATCTAGTTGAATAAACATAGAGACAGAATAAACACTTGTACAATACATAACTACAAACATACATATTATATACATACATAACATAACAATCAAACAGAAAAAGATAAATTAATATTTTTGTCAATACAGTCAATATTTTTGTATATCCAGTATTCCAACAAATGTTGTCCTTGTCCGGCCTAACATGTCGTATGTATGTAGTTCGGACAATTTTTGCTGTTCGATGTGTTTTTGATTTAAGAGAATCACATCGTCTGTAAAATCATAACACTTTTTATCGCGTAATCGGCTTGAGTCAATTAAAAAAATTTTATGCGTCGGCGGTCCGATAAGAGCGAAAAAAAAAAACCGTTGAGGGTTTCATATTGGCGCTGCACTCCATGTGAAAGTGAAACTCGCAATGTCTTCTAGCTCCTATTGTAACAATTTTTTAAATTAAAAAATAAGTGCGCAATTGACCTCCATCTCTCCTGATGGAAAGAGACGATGAGGTCGACGATGGAGCATACACCTAAACAATACCTATTGACAACTACCGTTCAGGAAACAAGTCTGCAAGTAAGGAATTCTTCGTCATAATATAAATGCGGAACCGTAACGCTTCGTGTAAATCCTTGGAATATCCGCAACATAGGGATGGAACCCAAGCTTACGCCTAGTCCCCCAATGTTGAAAACATCATCATCAACAGCTTACACGCATCCACTGCTGGACATCAGCCTCTTTGTGAGCACGCCAACCCGATCTTGTGCCGCTCGCATCCAGCCGCTGCCGGCCACCTTTCTCAGGTCGTCTGACTATCTTGCCGCAGGGCTTTCTACACTAGCCTTAGTAGTGGCGGACATGGTGGTCCGCCGAATACAACTGCTGGGGCTCGAGGTTGCCGTGCCGAAGACGGATGTGGCCGTCTTCGGCGGGAGAGGCAGAGGTTGGGCGGGCCAGCAGGCGCCCACATCTCCATCGCGGGAGTATCGGTCCCGGTCAGGTCCCAGATGAAATACCTGGACCTTGTCCTGGACCGGCGATGGAACTTCCGGGAGCATTTCCGGCAACTTGCTCCTCGAATAGTGGGCGCCGCATCGGCGGTGGGTCGGCTCCTGCCCAACCTCGGAAGGCCGGGAGCCCCATGCAGAAGGTTATACGCCGGGGTGACCCAGAGAATCGCCTTATACGGGGCTCCCATTTGGAGTGGGGCCTTATCAGCGGCGACGAAATCGCTGCTGAGAAGGCCCCAGAGGGTGGTCGCCCACCGAATGTGCAGGGCGTACATGAGAGCTTGGCGGATCCCCCTATGGAGCTATTACCATAGGGGCGATCCGTCCTGTTCTCGTAGAGTGAGTGAACCGGTCCCACGGGCCACTGTCGTACCATCTTGTGCAGGTGCTGAGCGGGCACGGCTGCTACGGTCACTACCTGCACAAGGTGGCGGGGAGGGAACCGTCCCCGTCGTGTCACGAGTGCGGTGCTGCGGATGACACCGCGCAGCACACCCTAGAGGTGTGCACCCGGTGGGATGAGCAGCGCCGTACTCTGATGGGGACATTAGGGCAGGACAATTTCGCTGCCGGGCGTGATTGCCGCCATACTCGGCACCGAGGCGTCCTGGGAGGCGGTGGCCTCCTTTTGCAGGGAGGTTATGTCGCAAAAGGAGGCCGCGGAGCAGTCGCTTCGGCGCAGACGTACGGGGAGAAGGCGAAGGCAGTTCGCTGCTCGCATGA